GCAGCGGGCGGCAGGAGAGGTCTGCGCGCCATGTGGGACCCTCCTTCGGTGGCCGGGGAGCAGCTGGGGATCGAACCGGCACCACAGAGGCTGCGGGCAGCTTCGCAACCCAGCGCTCAACCGCTGCGCCACCGGGGAGGCCCGTGTTTGGCTTTTATATGCAACCCTGCTGCCCAACTCCACCCTCAGGTCCCAGCCACCCTCCCTTTGGTGGTGATGGGATTTGTCTTTCCCGATGTCCTGATGGCTTTAGTCTGGAGTGGGGGTGGAGTCCACAAAGCCTGTATGGGATTAGCTCAGGACATCCTTTCCCCCTAACAGTAACATTCCCTTTTCCCAACCGCGTAATATCAAAGGCCACTGGGCATTGCTATGATATTCAAGTACATGATGGATGGTCTTGTTTCTTTGAAGAGAATGTAGACCTGTCTGGGTGATGTAGAAGTTTCTGGGAAGTTGCATGTGGTGGAAGCTGTGTAGTCACACACTAGGACTGCACAATGGTCCAAGACTCAGGAGAAATGAAAACTGCTGGTCTTCACACAGATGGTGTGAGAGCACACAGATGATGTGAGAACACTGCTCTGTCCCTTGCCAGGCCCACCCTGTAAGCCTCCGCAGACCTGAGGAGGATTTGTGTTTAAATCAAGATGGTACCTGGTTACACTGCTGCGTGGGACCTGGCAGCAGGGGCTGCGTATGGCTTCTGATTTTTTCAAAAAAGATTTTATTATTTATGCATACAAGAACTGGCTGGTGATTTTTATAGAGGGTATCCTCAATACAAGTGTCTTGCTCCACTGAATGAATGGATACTTCTGGCTGGAACAGGGCAGGTTGATGGATGGCCGGGGGCAAAACTTTTAGCTTTTCCTGCTACCTGCACACCTCTCTCTCCTTCCCCATTTTTTTTTTTTTTTTTTTTGGTCTCTGTCTGAGCTTTTAAGTGCCTTCAGGGTGCTTTCCAAGATGCCCAAGACCCCACAAACCACAAACCCCTCTTCCTAGTCTAGGCTTGCACTGCCCTCTTGGGGGCAAGGAGAGAGATGTCCTTCAACTGACTGTCCCCTGGAAAGGAGGGGTCCACCCTGGCAGAGCCTGTGCAACCAGGGACAGTCTCTGTTAGTTCTGGCAAACTGAGCAAAGGTTTTTAAAATTCTACCCTTAATTCTGATGTGGCTGGCTGAGCTCTGCATTGTCATATGCTTCCAGAGGGGCACCATGTGGTACATTTCTAGAAAGCAGTTTGGTGATATGAATCAAGAGTTTAAAAAGTGCATATTCTTAAACCTAAAATTATGCTCTAGACATTTATATGAAACTCTTAGGGCTTATGTATAGACATATTTATGTATAGAAATGTTTACATTACAAAATATTTATCATACTTGTATTTATACAAAGAAACAAGAAATTCAACCTAAATGGAAGTGGCTTAATACATTATGACACAGGCCTGATGAAATAGTATGCAGCCACAAAAGTTATGTTTCTAAACAAACAACTATGAACCAGAGACACACTATGGGGGGGGCAGGAAAGGAAGGATTGGGGTCAAATTAAGGGGGTTGCAATTGTATGGGGAATATAAAAATAAAATTTTTTAAAAAGTTATGTTTTTGAGTGCTGGGTGATCCAATAAGATGCGTATTAGCTATTGTAAATGGAAAATGGCAGGATCAAAAAATTTTAAATAAAATTTAATAAAAATATATGTGTCTGGGGCCTCCCCTGGTGGCGCAGCGGTTGAGCGCTGGGCTGCGAGGCTGCCCGCAGCCTCTGCAGCGCCAGTACGTTCCCCGGCCACTGGCGAGGGTCCCACAAAAAAATAAAAAATAAAAAAATACATGTGTCTGCACTATGGGGGGGAGGGGCAGGGAGAGGAAGGATTATGGTCAAAATAAGGGGGGGTACAATTGTATGGGGAATATAACCAAAATGAAAATGCATACATTGTGCAAAAGTGAAAAATGATATAAGAATTATATAAAATAAAATATTAAAAATACATATATGTGTCTGAAAATAATCATTATCTATCTACGGAAGGGAATTTGAGTATTTTTATATGTTTTTTAGCATTTACTAAATTTTATGTCATGAACAAAAATTCTTTTTATGGTCAGAAAAAATACTGATAGAAAACATTGTTTAAAATCTTTTTTTGATTTTACAGACAGAGCTCTTCCTGGCCTGCAGGGTCAGTCCTCACTGCACTCTTGCACTGATGAGAACACTGCTAGGGAAAATGCCCCTGTGTTTTCTGGGAGCAAGCCTGGAAGAACTTTCACTATCCGTTTGTATTCCGGTCATGGCTCAGCCACTAACAGGCTTGGGACATTGGACATGTCATTTATTTATCTGGATTTTGGGAATATTTCTTTATAAAATGAAGTTGGCATAGGATGATTTAAGTGTTAGATTCTGATTCTGTGATTCTAATAAGCTCCTGGAGTCAAGATATTCACGTAAAGAAGGCTCCATGGTTTAACCTTCTCCACTGTTAATATCTTAAACAGGGGATCTTTAGATTTATAGCTAAAGGAATGACTCTCTAATGGCAGAATTTCACTTCAGATTGTGGCTCACTTACACCCAAACACTAACTGTAAAGCTCTCTACAATTCACACATCCTGGGCATTATCTGGGTCTTCTGAGAGTCAGAGACCCTTCTACATCCACCTCTGGCCCTGAGAGGGAGAGACGTATCCTGCCTAAGAGAACAAGACAAAATCCTGGGTCCTGTGCTTCTGTTCCCTACTCCTTTCCCCCAGTCTCAGCTGTTCCCCATTTTCTGCTTCTTTCAGTCTTCATCCTATTCGCTGTGGTTGAGTTTATGTCAGTGTGGTTTACTGGTGGACCTGCAGTGGATCAGTCACCACAGCGGAGAGGGAGGAGGGATGTGACTCATGCCACTGGTCCAGTGAGTCAGACTTGGGTAGGCTGGACCAGGGGCTTCCCGAAAATAGGAATCAGGTTCTATATAGGCAGACACCTTAGTTTCCTCCTGATAGGGGCACCACCAGGAGAAAGGCCCAGTCTTTCTTCCCTTATGCATTTCTGTGAACTCATCTAGGAATCCCACTCGCCATAGAAAATGCCACTCTCCTAAGCCTCAGAAGGTTATATCTCGGTAAGGCCTAATCAGCCAAAAACAATCACCTGGTCCCCTGGCATCCAGCGGAAGATGGAGATGTTAGTTAGAGAAAAGAAGATAAAAAATTTCCCATTCCATTGTCTCATGCCCTGGATTTGAGCCCAGCAAAATTTCTGAATTCAGATTATTCTTTCCTCTTTCCAGCTCATGAACATTCATGCTGCCTTGTAGTTAAAACCCGAGCTTGTGTTCCTCGGGCAGGTTATTTAACTGCTTGAGTTTACTTTCCATGCTGAAAAAAAAGGAATCCTGGACCTCCCTGGTGGCATAAGCAAGGGGTTAAGACACAACCTATGAAACTATTCACAGCTACTGCAGCACAAGTTTGATCCCCAGCCAGGGAGCTACCCACATGGCGCAGCAGACTTCTCCTATCTCACCTGCTGCTCCCCTCAGCAGTGTATTTCAGTCAGTCTGCCTGTTCTGCTCCCCACACTGTCTCAGGTGAATCCTCTCACCCCTGTACCTCTGACCTGTACCCCAGTTCTTATATGCATAAATAAAATAAATCTTTAAAAAAATGGGATCTTATCCCCCAAATGTCCCCAAACTAGAACTCACCTCATGGGCTTGCTATGCATTAAATAGAAACCTAGCACCCACTCCAGGCCTGGCTTCTGAAGGTGCTGAGTCTGTGAGGCTAGGTTAATTCTAGAATGGCATGGATGCCGCATGGCTTTTGGACTTGCTGGGAGAGATGAACAAACATCAGTCAGTGCAGAAGGCTGAAGTGGGCCATTCCCAGGGTGAGCGTGCTGGCTGTGATTCTCCAGACTGGTTCTGAAAGCCTTGTCTGGTCTTCTACCATCTATCTCAAACTCAAGCCTTCTCTTCCCTTTTAGCATAAGGCCCTCCACACTGCAGGGCAAACAATGAATAAGCTGCCTCCCGCGAGCAACAAGACAGGGCCAGTGTGAAAATACCCCTTTTGCTTCAGGCCTCACCGTGGCCTGGCAGAACGAACATTGGTGAATCCATCCTGATGTAAAAGTTTCGTGTTTTGTTCGCCATGGATTTTTGGCATTTATTTGGATTAAAAGATATAATGCATTACTCTAATATCTAGAGCTCTGAGTTGTTTGGCATTCCCTTAAATCTTGCACCTAATTTATGGAATCTTCAGATTCCATAAATAAATATAAATAAATAAAAATAAAATAAAAATAAATAAATAAAAATAAATAAAAATAAATAAAATAAATAAATAAAAATAAAAATAAAAATCCTCTAGATTTTTAGGGGGAGGGAGTGTACTTCGAGGGCAGAGGGGCCCTGCAGACTGTGACTGCCTCCCTAAACCTGTCACCTGCTAGCTAATGGGAACTTTTTCCTGCTCCACCAGAAGCCTGGTTCCATCCACCCAGGCTCCCGCCCCATTTTCTTCCATTCCTGTGACATTTCTGTGAAATCATTGCGCTCAGGGATGACCCTCATCCTTGAAATCCTTTCAGTTCTGTTTAGCTCAGGAAGTTGCGCAAGGGCTGCAGACTAAGCGCCAGGCAAGCACCTGGTGAAGCTGGGGGTGCAGGCAGATGGGCAAAGACGGTGCGAGGCACAGAACACCTGGGGGCACCTGGATGGGGCACCCCGCCTGCCAGTGGGCAAGTACGGGAGGCGAAGCCCCCAGAAGGTGACCGGGGCGGGGCTTTGAACTTGGAGTGGCTGGTGGCTAGTCAGCCGCGGATGCTCGGCACCTTCGCGGGGAACCACGTCAGGAAGGCGCTCTGGAGAGATTTCCTGCCCGGGAGGCCTCTGGCTCTGGATGCGGGCCAGGGAGGCGGCACCGCGCCCGGGCGGAGGCGCTTCCTGGGTGCGCGGCGCGAGGAGGCGCGAGAGGCCGGAGCTCCCGGACGGCGCCCGCGGGAGGGTCCGAGGGCCGGCGGGCGCGGCATGGAGGACGGCGTGCTCAAGGAGGGCTTCCTCGTCAAGAGGGTGAGCGGTGGGGAGCCCCTCCGGACATCGGCAGGGCCCCCGGCGGCGGCCGGGCGCCATCAACCCCCCCAGCCGGTGCCCGTTCCCGAACCCGGGGCTCCGCCGGGCAGAGCTCGCGTCCCTGCGCCCAGCCGGGTGGACGGTGGCGGGAAGTCAGGTTCGGGTGGAAAAGAGCGGTCAAGACACAGGCAAGGAGACTCCTGCTAGAATAATGCATGGAGTGTGGGTGGCAGCTGCTGAAGTGGGTCTTTTCATTTAAACCCCTTATTAAACTGTGAAGAGTATAATAGTGAAATATATGATTATATATTAACACAAGGCAAGGGTGCGCTGAAGTTCAGAGCTGCGTCCAGGTAATGCAGCCTCCATAATGCGGGAGCAGGCGGGAAGCCCATGCTGCTGTCCTGTGGGGGACTTTGTCTCCTTTATTGCTCCCAAACAACCCTGCAGGGTCCTTAGAGCCCCCACCCACCCTCTTTCAGCAAGGAGAAAAACAAAGCTTGAAGAGGCCCAGTCCCACTCAGGATCTTGGCGTGAGTGGGTGATAGAGCAGGAATCGAACCTGCTGACATCCACTCCACTGCAGGGTGGGTGTTGTTATCACTCGGCTACAGATGAAGAAACTGAGGGTCAGAAACAGGCGATAACATGCTCAGAGCCCCAGGGTTAATAACAGTTGGGACTGGAAGTCCTTTGCTCCCTCCTTCCCATCACCCCAGTTGGTCTTTCCCACAGCAGGTAGGATCCCAGACCCCCCCAAAAAAGGAATGGACGCAAAGAATTAATGGAGAAAATGAACCAAGAGCAAGAGGAAAATTGATATTTTAAAATTCTTCAAAATTTTCATATTAGTGACCACAGTCACCTTTTGTGCTGACATGGTAACAGTGCATGCAGATAAATTAATCTAGGGGATGAGCCTTTCACTCTTCTACTGAGTTTAGGCCAGGGAGGGGGATGGATGAAGAGAGGTGAAGGCTCAACTGCCCACCATGTCCACTGGCTGCCAGATCAGCCTGGAAGTCTCAAATAGCATTAGGTGCACAGGCAGTGTAGTCACATTATATTATACTTGCATGATAGAGGAGGGCGTGTGTGTTGTTTGCTCAAAACTAAGCATGAGTGATAGGAGGTAGATACCAGATCAAGGGTCAGAAGAGATACATGCCAGTGCGAAACTCCACACTGGCTTCATACCATAGAGATTCAAAGGGTAGGCTGGTCCCTCACGGCATGTGGAGGGAACTGTACTTCCAAGAGACAAACCATGGTGAACTTCTCCCACTTTCCTGCAGCAGGATGGAGACTGGGAGCTGAGCAGGAGCTCTGGGGGGCACGGTTGACAGCTGAGTCTAGTAGGATCCTGGAGAGAGCAGCCCCCTAGCCGGGCCCTTGTGGGTCTTCCACTGTTTCTGGGGGGTTACCTTACATGATTCACTACTATTATAAGGTCAGGGGGCGGCTAGAGGGCAGGAAGGATTTGAGTTCTTTTCTGCACAGCCTGTACAGTCCTCCTGGCCAGCTCAGGATGCAAAGAACTGAGGAGAGTCAGCAGGTCCAAAGCCCACAAAAGGGGGTTGGCTGAAATACCTGAAACTCATTCCAGCCAAACCCTAAGACCAGGTTTTAGCTTGACCCTCTGACAAGCAGAGGCCACACCCTTTCCTGCAAGGTGAGGGAAGTGGCTTCCAAGTTCCTGTAAACAGTTTCCTTCCACCATCAATCCAGTCTTTTCCTCTCCCTCAAGTCCCCATTTCTCCTGGGTGGCAGCTGCCATGCCTGTGTCCACTGGGGAAGCTGCAGGACGGTGGCTGTGGGATTTCATTTGTTTAGGAGGTATACAGCCCAGAGGTGAGGCAGGGCCTAGCCAGAAGCCAGAGTATAGAACAGTCATCAGGGCTGAGGGCGAACAGGAGACAGGCAGGGGCATGAAGGATTTGGCTCTTAATCCAGACAAGAAAGAAGCAAAGCTCCAGGCAAAACACAGGAGCGAGCTTGGCCTGTCTTTAAAGGAGAGAGAGGGGAAGGAAGCCAGATGGCGTGGGTAGAACTGCTGTTCCTTTAAGAGGAGGCTGAGGCACCAACACTCAGAAAATGACAGCATGTTAACATGCTTTGCCTAGAAATTTCACTCATAGGACTTGATCCCAAGGAAATATGGTAAAAGCTGTATGACGAAAGTGTTATTTATGTACTGAAAACAACCTATGTGTCTCTCCAAATAAGCAAATGATTAAGTAAATTATGGTTATACAGATATTTAAAATGTTTATAACCCAAAGAGTAAAAATATAAAAGGTATGAGTAAAGGAAAAATAAGCACAGAAGGAAAATTGACGAGGGTGCTGTTCTGGAGGCTCTGAGTCTGAATCCAGCTGAGGGAGACTCTTGCCTGGCCTTTGAGTTCCTGGTACTTGTGGTCACTCCACAGTGTTCTTGGCCTGTGGATGCGGCACTCTAACCTCTGCCTTTACCCCATGACCAGCTTCTGCCTGTGTGTTTCTTAATTTCCAAATTTTCTTCTTTGTGTAAGGATACCAGTCATGACAAATTGGGGCCACCCAAATCCAGCATGACTTCCTCTGAACTGGTTACATCTGCAAAGACCCTATTTCCAGATCTGATCAGATTCCCAGGTACTAGGGGTTACAACTTCAGCACGCCTTTTCGGGGGATATAATTCAACCCATAACAAGTACCATCTCTGCTTCTTCAGGGTTGTAGGACCTTGGGCAAGACCTTTCTGGGCCTCAGTGTCCTCACCTTTGAAGTTCCGGAGTAGAACAGGCTTGTTCAAAGGGTCTCTCCAGCTGTAACATGCTGTGCCTCTTCTGCCCAGCCCTAGGTTATGTGCCTGCTTAGGGACCCTCCTCCTTCTTCCCTGCAAAGGGGCATGGGAACTCCAAGACACCACTGGCCCCAGCCAGCCTCTTACAGACAAGAAGCTTGGAGAGGGAGGGAAGTGTCCCAGTGGAAGGAGTCTGGGTCCTTTTTCATTTTATACCATACGCTGTGGCCTCTGACCCGCCTTGCCTGGTAACTCTGGACCAGTCCTGGCTGCCCTCTGGGCATGGGGCGGCTTATCTGTCTCTGGGATAATGGAGCCCTCCTTCCCATTTTGTGGATGACTACAGCCGCCTCCAAATTGAGCTGCTCGCTCTCGGGTCCAGTTTTTCAGCTGTTGGGGCATAGTGTGGTCAGGCTGATTTTTTTTTTTTTAAGAGTTATTTTATTTATTGTGCATACAAGATCTGGGGTGCAGGCCAGAGGTGCGGGGGTGGGGGTATGTGTGAGAGGATTCACCAGAGGCAGAACAGGCAGACTGACGAAATACACTGCTGAGGGGAGCAGCGGGCGAGACAGGAGAGGTCTGCCGTGCCATGTGGGTCACCTCACTGGCCGGGGATTGAACTCATGCTGCAGTGGCTGCTGATAGCTTCGTGGTGCTGAGATGTAACCCCTTGTGCCATCAGGGAGGCCCCACCAGGCTGATCTTCTTAACATGAGAACCTAAACTTATTATCCTTCTGCTTACAAGTCTTCAAGGACTCCCCTCTGGTTGCAGTATAAAGATCCATCTCTACAACATGGAAGTTAAAGCTGACTGGGCCCTTATCACTTCCCCCACCCCTTCTCCACAGGTCTCTGAGCCTGAACCAAAGAGAACTACTTGAAGTTTCCCAGAAGCGGAGGTGGTTTTATGTCCTCCCTTCCCTCCCTTCCTGACCTGGCTAACTCCATGCAGCCCTCAAGACTCGGCCCCAGAATCAGCTCCTCAGGGAGCCTGTCTAAACCCACTCCACCCACCCTCTTCTGAGCTCCTTTTTCCATCTTGGTCCTCCTTGGGCTTTGCATTGTGCGCTATTTAAGCTACCTATTGCTGTGTAACATTACCCCACAGCTTAACATCTTAAAACCACAAAAGTTTTCTCACACGGTTGCTAAAGCTCAGGTAGCCATGAAGAGCTTAGCTTCAAGATTCTGGCTCAGCTGCTTTCATGCAGTTGAGTCAGTGTTGCCCTGCATGGCAGTGGCCTGCAGGCGTGCCTGGTGGATGAGAGACTTCAGGCTCCCTTGCATGACTGGTGGTTGGAGGCCATCATTCGAGCCTCCCTGTGGTGTTGCTTATCAAGTGGCAACTGGTTTTTAACAGAATGCGAGATCAGAGAGGAAGGAAGGGAGAGAAAGGAGAAATAGAGAGAGAGGTGACAGAGGTTTTATTTTTTAAATTTTTTTTTTAATAGAGGCATGTTTTATTTATTTATTTGTTTTGTTTATACAAGCACTGGGTATAGTTAGAAGCGCGGGAGGGTGAGAGAATTCACCAGAGCCAGAGTGGGGAGCAGAGCAGGCAGAAGGACCGAAGTACACTGCTGAGGGGAGCAGCAGGCGGCAGGAGAGGTCTGCGCGCCATGTGGGACCCTCCTTCGGTGGCCGGGGAGCAGCCGGGGATCGAACCAGTGCCACAGAGGCCGCGGGCAGCTTTGCAACCCAGCGCTCAACCGCTGCGCCACCAGGGAGGCCCGACAGAGGTTTTAATAACAATGTCAGGACTCACTGCCCACCACTCCCAATATTCCCTTGGTCAAACAGATCATGTTGTACAGCATGAAACTACACTAGGGGGCCTCCCCGGTGGCGCAGCGGTTGAGTGCTGGGTCGCTAAGCTGCCCGCGGCCTCTGCGGCGCCGGTTCGATCCCCGGCTGCTCCCCGGCCCCCGGAGGAGGGTCCCGCATGGCGCGCAGACCTCTCCTGCCGCCCGCTGCTCCCCCCAGCAGTGTACTTGGGTCCTTCTGCCTGTTCTGCTCCCCGCTCTGGCTCTGGTGAATTCTCTCACCCTCCCGCGCTTCTGACTGTACCCAGTGCTTGTATGTATAAACAAACAAATAAATCTTAAAAAAAAAAAAAAAAAAGGAAACTACACTAGGGTGTGACTGCCAGTAGGTGGGGGGCCCACCAATCATCTGTACTGGAAATTCTGCTGGGTGCAGTCATTGTC